AGTTATAGTACTGTACTGTATACAACTGTACTTAAATGTGAAGCTTAACAAGGTAAATGGGAGTTCCCCAGAAAAAATAATGAAATATATGCTATGCGCTGATTTTCGAGGAAAATAGAAGATTAATCTTAAAAAAGACGTCACAAAGTGCAAGGCGTATGGGAATTCACGCTTATATTATTCTCAAGTTAACATATCAAACATTCGACTCAAAGTGGTAGTTCTGAGCATATTGGTTCAGTACATACCTTAATTGCCCTTGAATAGCGAACAAAGGAGAAGATGGTAAATAATTCGGTGAAACGAATAAATACGAGTTGCTCAATTATCAACTGGATTACTTAGTTGATTCTGAGTAGCATGAGCTGTGGTGCTGTTGAGTATGAGTGAAGGTAGTCCACCAAAGCCGAATGATTGGAGCATTTCGGTACAAAACCGAGGTATCTTCTTGTGTTCAAAATGAATAAAAAGCTCGTAACACCCTACAATAATTCTAATTATCATTACAAACAAGCGTTTTCAAGATCGGTTGGAGGAAGAGAATAGGTGTTAAATTTCATGACACGTGACAAACAAATGCTCTCGAGCAGACAAAGGATCAGCGTGTTTCAGGACAAGAAAATTAGTAACAAGTGCGTTCAAATAACGGAACGTGTCGTTTCGCACTGGTCTTGCATTGGGTTTTATTAACCTTCAACTTGACATGAGTCCACTTGCTAAGCATATTTTCGTAGGCAATTTTTCTCCTTCTTGCACTATAACCCTTTAAAGCTTTTTGATATTTTCTAATTCGTAAAATGTATGCTTTGTTGTTGAACGCATCCCTCACCACGAATCACACATTCCTTTAGCGCCAGACACAGTAGATGTGGAAAAACCAAAACGAGCTCCATTCCCTAACAAGAAACTCTTAGCATGTCAACTACTGGCATGTACCTTCGGCAACAGTATGTGCCAATATAGGAATTACGAGAACATAAGCATGAGGTAATTTTAGAACACCATTTGCACTTGCAGTCAATCAAAGAGAAACTTCCAGTTTGGCTGAGTGGAAACTGGGAAATCACAGAGTTGGAAATATTCATACGGGTATCAAGATTGACGATGATGACAGTGCTGGAGGTACTCATAAATGAAAAAGACGCAATCGTTGTTTCTACGTTTATGAGTGTCAAGATGTTTTTTTTTTTGCTTTAAAGCAGTTAAGTAGTCTCTCACAACCAACTTTGAGGATTTTTGTTCGTTGGAACAGACAGTTCAACACTTGGTCTGACGACCTACATCTTGGAATCGCCGAAATTCGTATTGACTGACGATGTAAAGCTACTATTTGATGTGTACCGAAGATCAAAAGACATCACCTTACAGGTAGGACTGAAGCAATTGGATGATCATAAACTATAATCATTTAATTCTCTAGCTTTGCCTGAACTCACCTTTTTACTGCCCATTCTCAATCTCACCTTTCGACAAACATGTTCATTGGAAGCAAGGAGAATCTTTCGTAATTCCAAAGGCCACCACAAAGGTATGCTGCGTTGGACTTTTAGAAAACAACGTAAGAAATCTTTCAAAGAGAGAGCAGTAGTAATTTATTCTTACTTTGTTGCAGATTTTTTTCAAAGCGATACAATGGAGAAAGTTCAAATGGCTAGCAATAGATAACATACGTCTTATTGGCTGTTAATGCATACTAATTTTGAAATAAGGTTCCCGTAACTTTTTTTGTTAAAAAAAACCCAAGAA